TTGAGCTATAGGCGCCGAGCCCTCAGTGGGCATTTTCAAGGAACAATAAAAATGGTGAGAAGGGCTTCAGCAGTAGCATTCCTATTAGTTAGCTCATCCTAAAGGAAGGAAAAAAGACACTGTGTCCAGAGGCTGCTATTAGCAAGGAGGGGGCTGTTAGAGACCCCCTTTGCTGCCCATAGGACTCTCATCATTCTAAGCCCAGCAGGCCTAACACCACCTTATAGCTGAAGACACTGACACCCAGAGGGGGAGACGTCTGCCTGAGGTCACTGCCCATCAACAGCTGGCCTGGGCCAGAAAGCAAATGCCCTGAGGCAGGGTGGTCTCCCTGCAGCCCCTGAGGCTGGATGCTGCAGCCAGAGGTCCAGTCCCCCACTGGGTGGTATTTTGTCTCTTTCTTTGTCTTGTAAATTTCCAAAGCTTAGCTGCTGACCTCCCAGGATGCCTTTTAAGCTAATGTGAAAAAGCATAAGTAGAGCCCAGCTCAGGGATTCCTAAAAGGAACATAAAGATCCCACCCCTAGAACTTTCCAAAGTCTTCTTCCCAGAACATTTTAACCCTGAACACCCCTCCCAACACCCCTGGACTCCCAGACATTGAGAAGGTTATGGATCCGTGGCCACTCTGGTCTGCTCCCTTTGCTCTTCCCAGGGGAGCTCCTTTCAGGCCTGTGTGGGTTCTCTGTTCTTTGTGGTCTCTAACCCAGAGCATGCTGTTTGGGTTTCTCTGTTCTTTGTGGTCTCTAACCCAGAGCCTGCCACATTGTCAGCTTCTGGTTTCCTGAACCAGCCTCTCAACTGTAGCCCCTGCCCTCCCCCAGGGCCTCAGCAGACGGAGGGGGCTTTGCCTTTATTAAGAGGCCATCCCCTGGGGGGTGGGGAGGGAGGTAGAGATCTATGCTCATGAAGACAGATAAGGAAGTTATGGGCCCTAAGGTGCTGGGGAGAAGCCAAAGTGAGGAAGAAAGGGGGCGCAGAAAGGGGCTAAAGAGAATGAGGGAAAAGCCAGCCAGGCAGGACGTGGTGGCAAGAAGAGCAGTCCCCCACCACCACCAGAAGCAACCTTCAGCATCTAGGAGGGCGTCCTGCACCCTCACCTGGCCCCCTGCTGCTCTCCCTGGGGCAGCAGACAACTGGGCCCAGAGCCCCTAGGGGAGCAGCAGAGCCCACGGACACAGGGACATGGATAAGCCACCTGGCTTGTGGTCTACAATGAGGCTACAATGGCCTCATTCATGGAATAAGCTGAGGATGAGGACGCAGGACACCCTCATAAGAGAAATCTGACCAGGAAGATGCTTAGGGGGCCCACGGGGTGGCACTGTTATGCCCGAAATTCTCCCAAAAGACCCCAGCAGACAAATCCGAGACACACTCCGACGTAAAAAGCACGAGATGAGTTTATTCAGGCCCCGGGAAGCCCGGACTCTCCTGGCATGCAAGCTGAGGACGAGCCCCGAACTCGGGGTGGAGCAAGTTTTTATGGGGTACAGAAAGCA